AGTGATGCAGAAAAACTCTTCTGTGGCAGATCCTGGTTAAGATCTGTCCTGCATGAAGTGAAACTACCTTCCCTCACTGCTTTGTGAACTGAACTATAAACTTTTGAGCTTCTGGTTCATCAAAAAACTAATTCTTTCCAAAATGTCCCTCTGAGAAAAGTCTAAACCAAAAAAAAAAGAAGTGAAAAATGTCTGCCAATTGGAATTCCAAACCAGTGTTGCCTCAGAAATACTGAAAAACGGCATTTTCAGAAAAATGTAGACTTCTAGAGTTCTCCAGATAGTCAATAAAACATAAAATTCCTTTCCTACCATCTGAAAACTGTTCTCTATATTATTTCTAATGATAAACCAAACAAACATTTATTTCAAATCACAGGAAATTTAAAAGGAAGCTAGAAGACATCCTCCTTGAAGTGCTTTTATTCCCATGAATATGGAATTGTGAAGTCAAAGGAGGAAGAGAAATAAAAAAAAAATAGTGGTGGTACAAGATAATGAAATTATTTTTCACCTACATAGAAATCAGTAAAGAAGAGGGAATCAAAAAATATGTTCAAATTTTGAAGCTTTTTTTTCTTTTAATTTTAAAAGTTGATATTATTTTATGCTGGCTGTCAAACTTTTTCTATTGTAAATAAAGTTCAATTGGTGCAGTAGAAACTTTCAGTATAGCTCAAAGCCTTTTGTCCAACTAAGTGAACTGTTCCCATTTTTACTCAACAAATATGGAAAAATGCATTACTTTGACTACGATAATAAAACCTTAGTATTGGATTTATTTAGTTTATCTTCAGGTTTAAAAGTAATTATTTTACTCAACAAACTGTTCTTTCCAAGTGTTAAATTAAACATTATTTTGAATAAATAGACTGTAGTTAAAATAAATACTGAAGCAGACAGTACCATCTGATAAATGATGATCTAGTAAGATTTAATAAGTGATATAGAAAATTGGGAACATCATTGATTAAATATTTTATCCCATTCAAAACTCTGTATTCCAAAGAAAATTTTGATAACCAGAAGGGATCCCTTTAATTATTCTAAGGAATAAAATGCTCTGCAAAGAGCAATAATACAACTTACCTTCCTATTAAGGCACAACTTTACTTCACATTACTGTCTGCTTAGCTTTCCACTGTACAGTCAAAGTAATGACTGGCATATATAGACTTATTCCAAATATTTTTAATTTTCGATGAGTTTCAGATTTTTATCTGTGCTTTTGTTTATGCAGTTTTTTTGAAGGGTGTTTTGTTTTGTGAGTTTTTTCTGTAATATGCAAATGTACAAAACATCGATATTTTTGAAAATATTTCTACTGATTTCAGTAAGACTTTCAACTTAGTGAGGATTGCAAGATTACCTCCATTCCAACAATATGAATATGCTTTGCCAGTATGGCCTCTATATAAGCACAATTCTTAACAGGCTTAAAATCCAGAATAATTTGTAGCAATTCTGTACTTTACAGAATGCAAACTATTCATATTTCTCCAATTAAATACATTAGCAGTATGCTCTTAAACAGAAATAGGAGACTGACTGAAATAAAAAAGACCCTTACCAAGCTAAATGTTACATTTCCAATTATAACACTTGGGAAACAGTGATAGGAAAAAAATGCTGGCTGTTACATACCAGAAGAAACAAGCCAAAACTTACTTTCTTGGAGGTCTTCTTTTTTTCCTTATCTCAGCTCTACACCGTGGCACCTTCTGACCTATAATGTTGAACATGTTCAGGCTATTCAGCTGTTAAAATAAACTCCAGCAGCAAGTATGAAATGAATTTCCTATTGAAAACGTTGATAAAATGTTGGTAGGTAGAAGTAGTGGAACATGATGTGGAGAAAATTACTTTGAAAATACCCAATCTAATGTTCATATTTGGAATTAAACAAGTAGTTGCCCGAAGCTTCCCATGTATTCAGGAAACTGCATATCTTGCAAATTGTAGTAGGATATGGATTCCTCAAACCAAATAAGTCCTGCACTGCATATGAAGTACAGATAGCACGTTTCCAAAACTGTTTATTTGGAATACAACCATTATAACCAAATTCTGCTGTGAATTAGCTTCCTTAGCTCCACAGAGGTCAGATTTGTAGCTCGCATCTAGTTTTTAAAACTAGTGTAATACTGAAAAATAAAAGATTGAAATGCTGACATGAACACAAAAAGTAAATTCACAGAGCATGTAGCCTACTCAATGATTTGTTATTTCTTTAAGATTTAGACTGCTTAGCTCAGTACTGTATCTATTTGAGAAAACCAATCAAATGTGTGGTTCCAGTAAAGAGAATTTGCATGCCCTATACTCATGTAGAACAAGCATGTTCAAGTGATGGGAGAGTTCCTATGACGTGCATATTTATTGTTCCAAGGAGTCTGGGTGATTCTCTAAAAATTCTTCTTGAAACTGAAATTAATGTGAGTTTTTTTCGAAGCTTTAGACAAGTATCCTAAAGACAGTAATAGAGCCGTCTAGATAATCTCAAATCCTCCCTTTCTAAAGGTTTTATATGTGCTCCAAAATGAAAGGACACTGTGAATCACGTAACAAATCAAGGAATTATTACAGTATGATAGGGACTCAAAAAGAGCAGATGGTACATATTTATCTTGAAGACAGAGGACATTAATGGGAATAAAACAAAACAAAGGAGTAAAGTTCAGAGGAGACATTCCTTTCCAGGTCTTACCCTTCACCTCATAGTTCCTCTTGATCCCTCATGGATGGTGCTGTTTTCTGTGATCTCATGTCACAGTCAAACAGTAGTGAGTTAGAGAATGCAATTTTGAAGGATGGCATGCTGTAGCAACAGATGTTTCAGGAGAGCTGCAAATGAGAAGTATTGGCCTCTCTTCACTCAGTGAAGATTTGTAGGTAGAAAGAGTAGCCCTCAGGACCTTGAAAGATCTGCAGGAATATTTTTGGAGAGAGACAAAACCTTCTCTCCTATTGACAAGCTTCCTCTAACTGGATTTCTTTTCTGACATCTTAACTTTGCAAGCAAGGGTCTGAAATAATTTTTCAAGCTAACTGAAGACAAAAATCTGCTGTGATGCTCCAGTTTCAAAATTTGATATGCTACTGTGTTCATCTGTCTTGAGCCATCATTGCTAGTCTGTAGTGGGATTTTCAGTGTTAGTCTTTTCCTGGTCTGATCTTTAATCATCTGCTAGAGAGGAAGAATAGTAATTAATCTTGGTGAATATTTCTATTTCTCTGCTCTCACAACTCAGTAAGTTCTTTAGCAATCTCTAAAACTTAAAAATAAATCCTGCATTGGTTTTAGAATATTAACATCAAAAATTAATATTTTGTGGTGGTTTTAATAACAGGGAATACGGTAGGATGTCTTGAGGAGTTAGATGTTAGATAAAGCGCAAACTAACAAAATGTATCTCAAAATACATCAAAATTGGGAAAACTGCTCTGCCTTGTGAACTGAGAAACAGAGATCTCCACTCTCTGCTTTTTATGATAATCCACTGAAAAATGAGTCAGAGTGTAATTTTTCTTTTTTTCACTTTGAGCACTATTTGTGCATGAAGCCTTAAATTACATGCATATGCTTGGTTTAAATGCTTCTAACAGTACCACCCTCTTTTTCAACATACAGTTCTTAAGACCCCACTGCAAATGGCATCCACAGTTTCACTCCTTCAGGATATTTTTTAAATAAATGATTGAAACGCCTTTTATTCTCATAATCAGTATAAATTTAAAGCCAAGCATATTTGAGGATTATTTGGTTTAATAATTATAACAGTTTTATAAAACAGGACAAAGCTGTGGAACTTTGGAATTATATGATTGTCTTATGTTGTGCTTGCATTGGCAAGTAATTCAGTGTGATAGGAACAGATCAGGAGAGCAAAAAATTGGAACAGAGACCCTTAAATCTACATTATACAGTTCATTTCTGCACCTGCTTGCCCTTTTCCAATCAGAGGCTCTAACTCTGAGACAGGCTTAGCCTGGGAACATATTATCTGAGATCTGGTGCCCAAGGTTTTCAGGTTACCATGCCACAGCTCATAATCAGATACAATTCTGAGACCCTTAGCTATGTTCAAGAAAACACTACCACTCAGGAGATTCCTAACAATACTTCCCACAGAGAGAAACAGCCCCTTTCAGGAGAAAATTCACCCCAGTGTGAAACACCTGCCAGAGAGGTACAAGCTGGAATCTACTTTTTGCTATATATACACCATGGAAGTTCAATCAACTAGCCTAGCTATCTAATATCCTGAATATCAAATTTAGAAAGCATACAACCAAATAGCTCCTACTCCATCACTGTATCATTTTTTATTTGAATTAGTGTTAAACCAGGTGCAAAATAATAGTGACAATGTTCATACAAACTGGTAAACAATACTTATTTTTTAAAATAATTTTCTTTACAGAAAAATTTTAAAAATAGGCAATGATTAATCACAAATGAAAAGGAGGAGACAGAAGAATAGTAAATCAAAGGGAAAGAGGAAAAAAAACATTGGGTGAAAGTGAAAAAGAAATTGTGTTAACCCAAAATGTTTCATTCAAATTCACATACAACATACTTTCATAAATTCATGCAAATTTTTAGCATTTTCATTTTTCATTTTAGTTTAGGAAATCAAACATAATTAAATTCAAATTTTAAATTTTTATATTTTCATTATATGTTTCCTTTTTCTCTTAAATTTTTTGTTGCATACAATTATTTGTTTTGCTTGACTAAATTTTCAGATAATTTAATCCCTGTAAAACTTACTTTTATTATGCATAGGAAAATTTTGTCTCACTTCTTTCAAAACACCAATTTTAAATTGTATATACACATACAGAGAGAATTTTTCTAGTAGTTATAGAGAAAATTTTATCTTCAGTCTTTTATACTCGAAGTAGTGTTGGAGGGTGTTCTTGCTCATTCTAACATTAAAAAAATTGTACTTTGGTGAAAAATGGTATACCATACACATTTGAGACCTGTTATTTTCAATAACAATGTGACAGAAGTACTCATTGCAGACTAGAAATAACTTATTCCAACAGTTTGCCATGGCAGAGTTCACACTGAGTGTTGAGATGCTGACAACAGAGAAAGCAAATACAGATGTCTCATTTACAGTAGATGGCATTCATCAAAATAGTGTATTTCCAAGACTCAGTATTGTTTCTGCTCAACCTGCAAGTTCAAGGTAGCATCTTTAACACAAAAACAGTCAAGCAAATACCTCCCTTAGCTGGCTGCACTGTTCATTTCCCACCTCTGCAATAAATCTAATCTATTTTAGGAACACTTATTCAACTTCCACATCATACTTAGGTTTCAGATGTCATCCATGGGTTAGTGGAAATGTGCAAAGGTACCTGAACTTGAGTTAAAAAGCTTTTCTAAAGAAACATGGTTTTGTCAACCAGACAAATGTTGTCTCTTACTTATTTTTCCAGTTTAAAGGAAAGTATTTTGGTAATAAGCATGGGTCAGATATCTGAAGAGTGTAAATCAGAAGATGCCTTCCAAGTCCTAGCTACTTTTATTCCCAGATAAGGGAGTGATTTACATTATCTTGGGACTTTTACAGTCTGTGTATTTTATTGTTCTCTTTTCAAGAAACAGTTAAAGTAACACTTCTTATATTTTTAATACTGTAATGAATTCGTAAGATGGAAAGTTCTAGTGAATTAGACAGGCAGAAATAGTCTGAAAGGTTTTGGAATAACTAGAAAATTATGCAAACATAACATTTTTTAATGAAATGGGGATTTTCAAAACTATAGAAATCCTAATCTTTTAACCAACACCTACAAAAGCTGAGCTATCTGAAACATTTAACTGCTTGAAAAGCAGTGATTTGTGCACACATCCATACTAGTACAGCACTCCATCTGACTTCATGTTGCAGGACAGGATCAGCTTAAGCAGAACTACTCGTGGACTGATAGTTGTATTAGCACCTTTAGTCTACTACAAATTTAAGAATACATACACAAATAGTGGGCATGACAATGAATGAATGTTTTGGGAAAAAAGCTTTGCATATTTTTGAAAAAAATGTCTCACAACTTTTTAAATCACTTACAAGCTCAATGGTCTTTTCACAAGGCTCATCTAACCCAACATATTCTGATTTGGAGATGTAGTCCATGTGATGGGGACAAGTGGCCTTACTGACTACTGTCTACATGCACCAGTGGCTACAGCCATGCCTATCTTAGAAACAAGACAGTCACCTCAACTGGTGGCATGTTTTGTGTGAGGCACAGTTTAGAACTAATATAGATTCTGTGGTTTTTAACCTGACTTGTTACCGGTGTCATTTCACACAGAACAGGCATGTTTGATGCATATATTGGTTCAGATCAGAAAAAATTCATGTGTCCCTCTCTTCAATCTGCTATGTGAAAAATATTAATGTAAATTCATCTTGTAAAATTATATTTTCTCATTACTATTTGTATTTTTACAATAAAGTTTTATTTCATGAACTTTAATGGTGAAGGTCCTAGAAGATTTTCCTCAAACAATTTTTACAGGAATTTTCATTATTTCCTTTTGTTTCACAGAAATATTAATCTTGATGTATTGAAGGACCATATTTGCATTCCCTGAAGCTGCTTGTTAATGGATTTTTCCCTTTCCAACTGAAGGACAATAAGCATTAGCAAGCATTCACATTAAGTCTGAAGGTGGGATTTTCAGGGATCTAGGCTAAGCAGACATCTAGTTTTTCTCCAAAAGCAAAGTAGTGAGAAAGGCATCTCTAAAAGTCAGTACAACCTGCCTGTGTGGAATAACTACTTTAGCATGGAAGTGTCCTTGTAGAGGCATATCTCTATGATTATTTAAAGGAGCCCAGGTGAACAACTTAAAGTAGGTCTCTAAGTTTGAGACAGCTAATGATGGGTAAGATGAAAAGGCCGAATTCTGTGACCTTTTATTTTGTACTATTAAATCTTATTACAATTCTATTACCCTGGTCCTCAAGGTGTCTTAACTCTACACAATATTCAACTGCTGCTTTGTATTTATAGTTCCTCTCACCTTTATGCCATCTGCAAATTTCATTAAGACATTTTTAGTTTTTGTGCCAGGGTCATAAATGAATATATTAAATGACATCAATTCTGAGCCAAGCTTTGAGAAACTCCACTGGTAACCTACTTTCAGTCCAACATTTTGCTTTTCAGAATAGGCATAGCATATACTTCTATTTCCTTTAGCCAAAGTCTTATACAGTGTGAAAAACTTGCATTGCTTTGAATCCTTCTAGGCTAGTGTCTTCGTTTTGATTTGCCAATTTAAATATCAAAAATGTATAAAATTCAGAATTAAATACTGGAACACATGATTCATGAAAATTAATAAAAGGACATTTAAATGATCTGTTAAAAACTTCAGGAGTGTAATTCCGTTGTCTACACATGAAACAGAAAACAAAACATGTCCATATCACAACATAGAGCTGAAATAGTTTTACTGAATATTTAAGATATATAAGTCAGACAGATACCTATAATCATTGTATAGGCTCCCTACAGTTACTCCAAAGGCCTGAAGGAAGAGTCTGTGGCTTGGCTTTCATTGACTATGCAGGGAGCATAATGATTTGGCTAGACCTGATGCCTTTTTTGGGTTTTTTGACAGCTAAATTTAGCAGGTTATTGTGGACAATGACCATCAAAGTCCCATCTGAAATATATTTAAAACTTTATAATCCTAAAATACAATGAATATGACCAAGTGAATAGATCAGTGTACTCAGTATTACTTCAATCTCTAAGTAGTGATACATTACACCTGCTGGTTTTACATCCACCATTTAGAGAAAATGAGTTACGATTTGCATCATTAACTGTGATTACAGCTTCAAAAATAGACCTATAATGGTTATATTCCCCATTTTCTGCTAGAAGAGAATTCAAAGATAGGTGCTATAAAATAGATTATTTTAAGTTTTTCTTAGAATACTACTACTTTACAGAATTGAATGGGGTATTTCAGGTTGTTGATCTATGTTTAGTCTGGCTGTGTTAGGAATACAAAACAGGCAAAGTGTTTCAGAGCACCTGTGCAATAAAAATACACTATGCAAAGACAGGTATGTACTAGTCAAGAGGGATATATAAGAGAACCAAAATGAAGGTCTCTGGTAACCTGAAAAAAGGGGTACAAGTACTTCTTTGGGATAATTCATCACTTTCCCATTGTCATGGCTTAATGTCAGTTGGCAACAAAGTACCATACAGACACTTGCTTACATTCCACCCTTCCACCCCTCCATGAGATAGCAAGGAAAATTTTTTTTAAAAGTAGAACCCATGTTTTGGACAACAACAGTTTAATAGATGAAAACAAATAATAATTATAATAATAAAGACAATGACAATGATAATGATAATAATTAATGTAGTAATGAAAAGAGAGACAACAAAAAGAGACTGAGAAATAAAACCAAGGAAGGGCAAGCGACACACAATATAGTTGCTTACAACCCACTGACTGATACCCTGCCTGTCCCTGAGCAGATCTGTGGCTCTCAGCTCTCAGCAGTTTCTATACTGGGCATGACATTCTATGGTATGGAATACCCCTTTGGCCACTTTGGGTCAGCTATCCTAGCCATGCTACCTCCCATATGCTTATGCACTTGCTCACCAGCAGAACATGAGACACAAGAAGTCCTTGATTTAGAGCAAGTTACTTTGCAACAGTTAAAATATTGATGTGTTATCAACGTTACTCTTCTAGTAAAACGAAAACACAGATTACTGTACTAGCTACTGTGAAGAAAATTAACTCTGTTCCAGCTGAAACCAGGACACCCATGATTAGTGAGATGCTGTCCAGAGAAAGAAAAAAAGATACATAAAGTTCAAATGTCTGAATGGGCACTTAGCTGAGGACACATAGCTGAGTTACTGGCATCTTTTTTAGGATACATACAGATAAAAAGAAACCAGTGCTATTTTTCACCATTGCTCATTCATTACAGCACACAAGAAAACAGGATATCTGGCATTTTCTGAGTGCAGCTGCAGTTTCACAGAGGAACCATTTCGGGATCGAGTTGCTCCTTAGCACTGTTCTTCTCAAGCATCACTCACTTGAAGATAAGCAAGGGTACAAGAAGGAATGAGAATCTCCATTAATCCTAAATAGTCATTGGCAATGTGTCTGCCCCACGGTAATATCACAGTTTTGAGGGTGACAGATATTAATACAGACTTCTGTACTAAATCTCTTCTGATATCACTGTATTTGCAGTCTCTTAGCTATTAACTCCTACCCTAGAGGCCCAGACACCCTGAGACTCTGCCACCACCCTTCCCCTCTCTCCATTCAAGGCCTATAGCATTCTGGAGCTGTTTTTCAGGAGTATTTTGGAGTAGGCAGGAAAAAGGGTCCCTTTTGCTTTAACTGCTGTCTCAGTCAGCAGCTCTCCTTGTTATCTACAGAAAAATATCAAAGTTAAAAACAGTTGTATACGTGCAGCTCTGCTAGGCAGACAGTGGACTCCATGAAGGACTGGTTGAGGGAGACAAGTTGGTTGGTCTAGACACTCATGCATGTGAATTTCAGAGTGGGTGATAAAAAAAATCAGTCCTAGAGCTTCCAGCAGCACATACTACTGAAATTTTCCCTGTGAAATGAAATCAATCAAAACTTGCCTTTACGTATTCAGTGAGGCAAGATCAATTGTAAAGTGAGGAAATGCATCACTGAAGAGAGAGATAGCTTAGCTAATCTACATAGTTTCCCAGAACTCCTTTGCCCTTTGTGGAAAATACCTAATATCAGGAAATGTGCTAATAACATGACTTTTTTTCCTCTGCACAGTAACACTATGCCAAATCTACACTTTATAATCCATTTCAAAGTCTTCGTTTTCAGAGTATTTTCTCAATGATATTTGATTACTCTGGATTCTGGAAATTCTTTGACTTCTTCTAATAGCTAGCAACCCATGGAATAGTCTTTTAAGTGTAGAAATTGACAAATTCCCTTTAAAAACCCAAACATAACCCTCAAAACCAAAACAAAGCGTTTCCATTTTTCACAGTTATTTTTCCAGTGAAGGAAATGAAAGAAGTTCTTAAATTCATTCTCATTCAAAATGAAAACTTTCTTGAAATATCAAAATTTCTTCTAGAAGGGATCTTCAGAGTGTCAGTCAGCTCTGC